GGATGGTGATGATGGTGATGGTGATGATGGGGATGGTGATGGTGGTGATGATGGTGATGGGGATGGTGGTGATGATGGTGATGATGGGGATGGGGATGGTGGTGATGGGGATGGTGGTGATGGGGATGATGGTGATGGGGATTGTGGTGATGGGGATGGTGGTGATGGGGATGATGGTGATGGGGATGGTGGTGATGGTGACGGTGATGGTAGGTAACCCGTCTCTAACACATACTGCCTGCCAGGCACTGGGTTCTAATCATTTTCCTTAAATGGACTCATCTACTCCTCAAAACAACCTACAAAGTGGATTCTCTTATTACTCCTATTTTACAGATGCAGAAACCAAGGCACAGAGAGATTAAACCACTTGCCTAACCTGCAGCCTAGAATGGTTACCTCCATCCTTTGCCCCAGCCTAAGCCGCCCCTCCCTTAGGAAGCCTCCCCTCACCACCACGCCCTCTTTCCTGCACCCGGGCTCCCACCTCACCCAGCGCTTCCATCTGCCACTGCTGTGCTGTGACCTGTCCCACATCTGTCCCCGGTGTCCTGCTGCGAGCTCCTCGAGGCCGGGAGGCACATCTGTCTAATCTCTGTCCTCGGGCCCCGCACAGGGCCTGACACCTGTTAGGGCCTCTCTAAGGGATGCTGAATAAGAGGAAGTAAGTTACGCCAGCGGTCCCCTGTTTACAAGCCGCCTTAACTAACCATGGATCTTGGCAAGAACAACCACCTGATCTCAGGGGCGCCTTGCGTTTCTTGCTTCTCCTTCTCCTGACTCTCGTGTTTTGGCTTTCACAACCTTCTTTTATGTCCCGCTAGTGATTTCTGAGACTCGTCCAACTCTTGGCACTGGGCAGGGTGGCCACCTTGCTGCCCTCAGGCAGACAGTCTGTGCCTCTGTCATGATCTTCCCAGAACTCTTGGGGTCTGGGCGCAGCCCCCAGCTCAGTGACTGTCTAGACCACAGCTCCATGGACAAGCCATGCTGAAGCCTCTGAGAACAGGCTCTGTCTGTGCTTAGCGTGAGCGTATACTCTATACAGATGACCAATGATTGCCTCTTGACGTGAACTGAGCAAGCTTGATGATCGGGAAGTTCTTCCCTGAGCTAACTCACAGCTCTACTGCTTCGTTCTGGAGCGTTCCCCAGGCCCCCGGGGTGGTGCCTGAAATGCCCTCTTTCGCACTGACCTTGGGTGAGGCGCTTCAGGCCGGCAAAGCTGAGCGCCACGCCCTGCTTCCTCTTTTCCCTCCCCAGCAGCCCACTGACTTTCATCCCATTGCCTTTGATTCTCACTTTAGAAGCTTCTTGGTGGGAGATAAAATGTTAGTTGATTGGAAAACACACTCACTAACATCTGCAAGGGTATAAAGTAGATGGGTTGTAACCAAATTTACTTTTAATTTGGCTGGGAACTGAACTCTTCAGGCAGCGCTGGCTGATGTGAATTTCTACTACCAGCTATAAACCGTGAACCAGCTAGGACCTGAGGCCGGGGGTAGGAGCTCCCCTGATATCTCCATGCTCTAAGCCCAGAGGCTGGGGCTGGGACTCACATGCACACACACGTGTGTGCACGCATGTGATCATGTCCCCTTACCCACCTGTACACACACAGCGCACAGGTAAACCCCATCCCGCACCCTCCCTATGAGTAATGCACGCAGATTAAGCGGTGCACACGCCGAGGGCACCAAACTAGCACACAGTAGCAGACAGGGCACCTACATGCATGCTATTCATGCTCACATAAGCATGGGCACACATACGCATTCGTGTGAACACAGATATATACCCCCCCACACACACACTATGCACCTGCATTGCACACAAATGTTCGCACGATGGAAGAATGCACAGGTACCATTTACACAGTGCACGCTACACATATACGCACACGTACAAACGTTACACAAGGCACACAGGCACACAGAATTCACACACATGCACACCGTTCACTTTCATGCAGACACAGACACGCATGCATACACACACATCACATACACAACCTTATGCACCCATGCATGACAAACCCACAACTGCAGGTCTACACACAGTTCTGCTTCCCCTTCCTTCTCCCCTCTTGTTCGCCCACCCTCCTCTCCCGGTCCCCACTTCTTTGGCAATGCTAACCCTCTGGCTGTTCACAGGTCAGTCCCCCACCTCCCCAAGCTGAATAGTATGTTGCAGGTGGAATCTACTTACTGTTTTTTGTGCCTCTTCTCTTCCCTTCTTTTGTTTTTTGGGCTGGAGGAGCTGAATGGGAAATGGCCAGTTAACCGAAAGATGCAAAATTCTAGCGAAAGATAAAGTAGTCAAGATGCTTAACACACGGTGGTCACTAGATTCAGGCAGTTTGGGAATGGACGCCGATCGTTTCTAAGATCAGAGCAGTTCCTGCCAACGTTTTCACCCAGTGGGTTCAGCTAGACACACCAGCCCACACGCACAGACTGGGGATGGGGGACAGAGGATGCTAAGATCAGCTCTGGTAGCTTCACAATAACAGCAGTAGCAAAGGTCATCATATCTGCCATGCTTTGAGGCTTTCTTATCAGGTAAGCACTGTGCTAATACCTCTTGGCAATAATCTCATTTCATTCTCCCTACAACCTACGGGCAGTGGCACATTTAATAAGCACTCATTTTCCAGAAATAGAAACTGAGCCTTAGACGGGCTAAGGAACTTGACCAGGATCACACAGGTGAGCTGGAAAGTGGCCCGAGACCATGGGTCCCCAGGGCCCGTCCTCTTGACTGCTGTCCAATCAATTTCTAAGAGAAAAGAATGGAATATCCAGGGAGCTGCTCTAAAGCCTCGTGAAGTTGGCAGATTCTGAAACGTTCCGCTCGTGAATATTCAAGTATCTGTTTTCTTTTAAAGTCACAGTACTGGGGTGTGGGCAGAGTGGACAATTACGACTCAGGGTCCCAGCATCATCAAACAGAGGCCCCAGACGGCGAACACTATTTGGTAGTTCAAGCCAGACCGGCGTCAGAGGGGCACCAGGAACGTATCACTGACCTAAGTCCTGAGAACGAGAAAATTTGATTTCACCCAACTGAAATCGCACCTTGACATGTGTCTGGGACTCAGCCTGGGAGGTGGAGAGCCCAGGACCTCACTGAACGATCCAAATTCACATCCTGGCTCTGCTGCTGAGTCGCTGTGTGACATCAGGCAGGTTACCTGTCCTCTTGAAGACCCAGTTTCCTTGCCCTTAAAATGGGGCCATTGCTCAAGCTGTTGGGCTGAGCAGATGGATGACACTGGTTATCAGTGTCTACTTGTTCACCGAATGAATGAAAGGCCTTTGCACTCTGCCAGCTGCTGGAACTGTGCTATTGTTATTTTGGAAGCCACGGAAGGGTGTCCTGACCCTCTATTTGGCAGATTTGGGTTTGAGTTTTGGCCCTGCCACCTTCTGACCGTGTGTCTGTGGACATGCCTGCCACACCTCCTGAGTCTTAGTTTCTTCATCTGTAAAATGGAAATAATAAGGATATCCACCGCACAGCATTGTGATGGGGATTAATGGAGATTAAATACACACACGCATGGAAAAGGCTTAGCACAGGATCTGGTTTATAGCGAGTACCCCACAGGTGACAGCATTACGTGTGCTCACACTGTGCTTCTAGCACTCGGCCTCTGTCCCTTGGCCAGGACCTGGGAAGGCTTTGGTGGCGTGTCTGGGGCTGATGCTTCTCTACATGCCCCAACCCAAGATTTCAACCAACGGTCAAACAGACTCTGGCAAAGGTGGTGAGACCTGCCAGGGAGAGGAATCGGTAGGAGCTGGTCCGGCAGCAGCCACCTGGCCTGGGGGAAACCGAAAGTCTGGCTTGGAACTTTCGGGGAAACCAGATCACGGCCTTCATTTCAGAGGAAACTGAGGCCCAGGAAGATGAAGGGGGCGTGAATGCAGAGGTAGAGGCAGAGAGCTTGACCCTAGATGCTGCCTACACCTGGTTAGGAAAGCAGAAAGCTAAGCAGGTAGCGAGAGGCAACAAGATGCTTACCTGTGCCTTCTCTTCTTGGAGAATGACCTGATTGAGGGCAAAAAAAAAAAAAAGGAAGAGAGAGAGGGAGGGAGGAAAGGAGAGAGACGGGGAGGGAGTGAAAGAGAGGAAGGAAGAGGGAAGAAAGGAACGGAGGGAGGGAGGGAAGAAAATAAATGTGAGTCTGAAGTTTCTTTTCCCGGGATGGATGTATCAGTGCATTTGTGATCAGGCTACAGGGGGACCGGGACACCTGGCAAATCCTCCTCCTCTTTTAGATTTGAAGATCATATGGGAAACATTGGTTTGCATTTTGAATTTCCAGGTCAAAACCTACCAGTGTTTCAATGCTCACCCAAATTTGTCAGTAAGCCTGTCCTGGAAAAGGTTGCATGAGGGGGGCCAGAAGAGAGTCCCTCTGCCTCTTCCCTTCCCCCCAAGTCTCACTTTGGTCTTTTCTCTCCCTAGTTGTGGATTCTTCATCATCATCATCATCATCATTTTCATCTTCATGGGACAACCGACTTCCACAGGTGGAACTCTTTACTGGTGGCCAGGCTCCGTGCTAAGCATGTCTCACATACAATCTCGTTCAATCTCTTCCCCAAACCTGTGAAGTACTATTAACAACCATTTAACAAAGACACTGAGGCTCAGAGACGTTAGTTAAGTTGCCAAGGGCCACACAGCTTCACCTATGTAACGCCGATTCATTCTTCAGAGCCCCACACAGATGCCATCTTCTCCTTGTAGCGTTTCCCAATCCACTCAGGCTGGTTTGGTGCCTCCTCTCTGTTCCCACAAACCCCGGGTGAGCTTCTGAGCTTAGCCTCACTACGGTACAGACTTCTGCGTAATATGACTACCACTTTCCCCACTAGAACGTGAGCAACTTGAGGGCAGGGACTGGGTTCTGGTCACTGTTCTGTTCTCAGGGCCCTGAATCCTAATTCGTGACACAAAATAGGTATTCAATAAATAGATGTGAAAAATGGGATATATATATATATTTTTTTTAACCCTGAAGCCTTAGTTAATTGAAAGGGAGAAAAAAAAGCTCAATGCATCCTCTACCCCTACATCCCAGCTCCAAAAAGTCAACCATCACTAAGCAAACATTTCAAGAACTTGGAGAAAATGGACTAGAATTAGAGTGATGCTCAGTAGATGAGGGTTTGGGAAGAACTAGCGTCTGTATTTCCCCCTCCTAATTCCCCATGTTATGGTCCTTCTTCGCTCTAAACCTCCAACAACCCCTGGGCCAACTGTAGCCCCCAGAGAGAAAGCCTGTTTCTAACCCTCTGGCCTAGTCTCTTTCCCGTGAGAAGAAGCCCTTGAGTAAGAAGCCACCTGGCTCCCAAGATCCTTATAGAAAAATGCTCGTGCTTCACATCCAACCCCTAAACTGGGACAAACTGCTCAGCACAGGAAGGTGACGAGAGGGCAGTCTGCGGTCACAGGCGGGCCCTGCCTCGACCCAGGACTCTGTGTTGGGGAAGCTTCGAACACCAAATTAGCAACATTTTACAACTGGTTTGCGCCCACACCTTGTCTTGAGCACAAACCCAGAGAGCATCAGTTGGCGTGTTTGGGCAGGTGGTAGACATAATCGGTGAGACGAAACTGAGTTGAGACCTTTCTGGCAACAAGGGCTGAAAGGCAACCACACCCCTGGGTTGGGAAAAGCCACGTGGGGGCTACTTTGAACGAGAGGGTGAGATGCAGCGGGGAGGAGAACCCAAATGGCCTCTTACCTTTTGTTCTGCTGTGATGGTTTAATTGCACAAATAATCCACCACCCGTGTAGGAAAATTGGAAGATACAGATAAGCAAAAATAAAATATAAACCACTCTTTCCCTGTCATCCACAGCCAACCACAGCAAACACCTTAACTTACCAAGATAGCTTCAAACTCTCTGAGCCCAGGGGGCCACACAAGCTCTTTGAAATGTGTGTAGATGGAGGGGAGCAGGTTAGGTGGGGACAGTGCGGCACCTCCGCTCTGTCTAAACGCCCAGCAACTCATCAGATTCAGCTGATGGCTGCCTGTGGGAAAACTGGTCCAATGAAGAGAGCGCTTCTGATTTTACAGAGGAGCAGGAAAGCTTTGATTTTTGTATTGTGAAATCTTTCAATTATAAAATGTTGGCTCGGCCCATTAATCACAGATTTGAGACCTCTGGCATATAGCCTTCCTGTCTTTTATTTTTCCCCATAAGCATGTGTGTGTGTGTGTGTGTGTGTGTGTGTGTGTGTGTGTGTGTGTGTACATGCACATGTGTATAGCGAGCTCCTTTGGGACTGTGTGTCCAGTTCCTAATGCCCCTTAACCACTGTCCACAAAGGTGTATGATCCAGAAGCCATGTTTCACAGGATCCCATTCTCTAGGACATAGTTGGACCAACCAGAAAGGTCTCTCCTTGGGAATTTGGAATAAGGAACAAGACCGAGAGATACAGGATCTTCCTGTGGCTGGGTCTGCAACATGAAGAGACAGGAACAGGGTGCAGGGTCCACGTCCCCCTGTGTGCACTAGGGGGTTCGGCTTGGGTTGTGTCAGCTTTCCATTCATCGGTTCTAGCCCCTCACTGAGGCCTGGCTGGTCCCTGAGACATTCCTGTCTCCTTAGGACAAATCCCCCTCTGGCCTGAGTTAGCATTAGTGGGCCTCTGGTCCTTGCAACCAGAGTCCCAAGTTAGACGAGATACAAATACACGACAACACACAGATGAGTATTTTTTATAAATGAAATGATAGGCTTCCAAATGACCTTTCAGTGCCATCCACTGTCACCTCCACCCTCACCCCAGCGGGAACATCCCTGTTTATTTGCAGAGGAGGAAGGACAGTACCTGTGTCTCTTATGTTTCTTGGAACTTTTCTTCTTCTTTTTCTTGACAGGCGATGGGCTATATGATGGGGACCTGCCGGGGAGGGGAGACACACTTCAGAGGGAGGCTTTGAGGGCCAGGGTTGGTTTCATAGAGACCCTTCTCCAGCCCCCAGACATGCCTCAGGTCTTTCAGTAACACACATCAAGGATGATAATTTGTAGAGTTAGTTTGCATTTGTTTCAAATGTTACCATGTGTTTTACTACAGGTATTATCTCATTTAATCCTTCCACACACTTCTTAGGTAGGTACAATTGCTACCCTCCCTTTTCAGACAAAGAAAGCGGGGTTCAGAGAGGTAAAGTGACTTGCCCAAAGACACACAGCTAAGAAGGTGGGTGAGCTGAGATTCAAATTGAAGACTCACTGATCCCAGGGGCTTTGCTCTCAATCACTATAGCACCCATAGCTGCCCTCCTGGTCAGGCCATAAGTATTTATTTTTGTCTGCTGCCCTCTTCCAAAACTGCACATACTGTAAAGGTCTCTCCTCTGCTCCACCCTGTGTCTCCCTGGTAAGACCAAACCCCTGCAGGAGATCTTGCCAGGATGCACTCAGCACGGCGGTGCCATGAAGGGGTAACCCGAGAGACAGAGACGCCCTAGGATCATGATTATGACTCAAGGCTGATGTTCGGGTAACCCGAGTTCCAATTCTGACTCTACCATTAATTTATAAGTCACCTCAGGCATGTCACTGCTCACTTCAAGTCTCCTGTTCTCCCACTGATAAAATACCAAGGTTGAAGCGTATCAGGAGCTGCAAACTCAATGCCAACACAGGCCTGCCTCTCAGATAGCTTAAATGGATGCAGCAGGTTGCGGGGGGGGGGGGGGGGCAGGGGAGACAGTAGGGAGTGGTGAGGCCTGTGGTGAACCAGAGAGCACCTGACCCAGGGGTATGGCTGCTTTTCAGATCAGCTGAAGGTCCAAGGTAGGAACGCAGGCCTAGGCTTCTAGAGCTCCTGCCTTTTGAATAGAAGTTGCCAGAAAAACATATTTTCGTATGACATCTCCTGGCTTTAAAATATGGCCACCAATTAAAAAGACAAAAAACACTTTGCAGGTCAAATAAAACATGTCTGCAGGGGTTATGAAGGGTTGAGAAACAATCGGACTTAGGGAATCATAGCACTTGTCCCCAAAGAGTGCTCACTGGACATACTGACTGAATGAATGAATGAATGATGGGAGCCTGATCCCTCTGGTTTCCTTCTTTGACGTGTTCTCCTGTCCATACCTAAAATCAGGAAGCTCAGGCCACTTACCCCAATTCCACCCCTCGCCCTAGAATGGCTGGAACTCAGGGTCTTCATTCACAGTCCCCTCTGGGTCCTCTTTGGGCCTAGCCCCTTAGAACTAGGTGAAAGGGGTGTGGAGGGAATAGGGCCCCAGAAAACCTCGCGTTAGGGCCTGAGTCATCCAGACTCTGCTCTCTGCTGCCCCCTGCAGGCTTCTTCAAATACTGCCTCCAAGGTTTGCTGGGATTTTTAACTCGCCCCTCTAAGGAACATCTCTTTGACCACCCCTTGGGGTGTGGAACACTGAACCTGCTTTTAGTCTAGGGATTGACAGCCTAGAAGAAACTCTGACAATATTTTTAAATACAAAAAAATTAAAAGGTACTGTACATAGAAAAACCTCACAGGGTACAAAAGAGTCAATAGCTGGCCAAAAATATAAAGTCCATTATCCTTGGCATTTGCGTGTGGTGGAAGCAACTGAGGAGCCTGGAATCAAGTGTCTGTAGGTTCTGTCACCTCCTCTCTGAGACTTTATTTTCTCATCTCTAAAATGGGGATAACAGCTATAAGAGAAATGAGTCATGGTGACTAGAGTTGACAATACTGTACTGCTAAGAGACTAGATCTTAAAAGATCTCATCACAAGAAAAACCATTGTAACTATATGAGGTGATGGATAGGTTAACCACAGTTACTGTGGTAATCATTTAGCAATATAAACATATGTCAAATCATGATGCTGTAACCTTGGACTAATACAATGTTATAGGTCAATTATATCTCAATAAAACTGGGAAAATTTTTTTAATAAAATGGGGGGCTTCCCCAGTGGTGCAGTGGTTGAGTCTGCCTGCCGATGCAGGGGACACGGGTTTGTGCCCCGGTCCGGGAAGATCCCACATGCCGCGGAGCGGCTGGGCCCATGAGCCATGGCCGCTGAGCCTGCGCGTCCGGAGCCTGTGCTCCGCGACGGGAGAGGCCATAGCAGTGAAAGGCCCGCGTACCGCAAATAAATAAATAAATAAATAAATAAATAAATAAATGGGGATAATAATGCCTGCCTGCTAGATCGTTGTCAAGCGTAAAAGAGATCATGGAGATCACAGTACTTGGTACAGCCGCTCACATACGTGAGGTCTCCAAAAATAAATAAATAATATTCATGGTCATAACTATGCTTCAGACTAGTCATTTACTATGCGCCAGACACTGAGACAGCTGCTTCCACATCCATTTTCTCACCTAATTCTCATAAAACCCCAAGAGGCAGGTATTTCTACCATTTTATAGAAGTGGAAACAGGCTCAGAGAGGTGAAGTGACTTGCCCAAGGTCACACAGCTAGTTAAGAGGCATAGAGGGGATCTGAATCCCAGGGGAGCCACTGTCTGACTCCAAAGCCCTTATTACCCCTCTTTTGTCCTTCTCCCATCTTCAGTGTTCCATGTCCCTTGGGGCCCTCACCTCCTTCTCTTCTTCCGGGTAGCTTTCTTCTTTTTCTTCTTCCCCCTGGAGGAAGGGGGTGGCGTCAAGTCTTTGCCTTGGGAGGCACTGAGGGGAAAACAGAACTGGGTATTAGAGGACACAGGGTTCCCCAAACCCCCAATCAGGGCTGTTGCAGCTGGGAAAGGGTCCAGTTCCTTGGAGGGTGAAAGACCCATAGTGAATACTTAATTACCATCTCATGGCTGATTTGGTTACACTTCAGATTAAATGCCTCAAATAAGGAGTTAATGCTGACCTAATGAGACAGATGCTGTACGTTACCCAAACATCAATTGATTAGTTAAATCAGAGTTACAGAGGTTAACTGCTCCTTAATAGATTTATTATTGAATTTGCAAATGGCTCACCTTGGTAAATAAATCAGTTTTTAAATAATTAATCGGCAATTCAGCACCCTCTCTCTACAATACAATGTGTCTGTAGTTCCTGCTGGAAATTAAATAGGAGGCAGAAGGTAGGTTAAGTAGCAGCTGATTATTAAAACTGTATTTGCCAAGGTCTAATGTAACAAGATACATTTCTTATATGGCTTCACGGAACCTCAAAAATCTCCACTCTTCAGGAATAATTATTTGCTGTTCAATTAAATTCAAAGGCTCAGGCTGCAGTTAAATGAAGTCAAGTTATCTCCTTTTATAATTGGGGCAGGCTCCAGGGATTTTTTTTAAAGCACTATCCCATGGCAAAAAGATATGGTTTTGGATGAAAAACTGCTTGGGAATTGAAACATGCCAACCCAGCTGAACCTCTTTGGGAAAACAGATTATTAATAAAATGTTACCATCATTATTAGTAACAACACAGCTACCGTTTATTCACTTATTATGCACCAAATGTTTTATATACTTTGATGCTCACAAAAGCGCTTTAAGGGTGTTACGATTTTTTTTTAACATCTTTATTGTAGTATAATTGTTTTACAATGGTGTGTTAGTTTCTGCTCTACAACAAACTGAATCAGCTATACATATACATATATCCCCATATCTCTGCCCTCTTGCGTCTCCCTCCCACCCTCCCTATCCCACCCCTCTAGGTGGTCACAAAGCACCAAGCTGATCTCCCTGTGCCATGCGGCTGCTTCCCACCAGCTATCTATTTTACATTTGGTAGTGTATATAAGTCCATGCCACTCTCTCACTTCGTCCCAGCCCACCCTTCCCCCTCCCCGTGTCCTCAAGTCCATTCTCTACATCTGCGTCATTAGTCCTGTCCTGCCCCTAGGTTCTTCAGAACCATGTTTTTTTTTTTTTTAGATTCTATATATATGTGTTAGCATACGGTATTTGTCTTTCTCTTTTTGACTTACTTCACTCTGTATGACAGACTCTAAGTCCATCCACCTCACTACAAATAACTCAATTTCGTTTCTTTTTATGGCTGAGTAATATTCCATTGTATATATGTGCCACATCTTCTTTATCCATTCATCTGTCGATGGACACTTAGGTTGCTTCCATGTCCTGGCTATTTTAAATAGAGCTGCAATGAACATTGTGGTACATGACTCTTTTTGAATTATGGTTTTCTCAGGGTATATGCCCAGTAGTGGGATTGCTGGGTCATATGGTAGTTCTATTTTTAGTTTTTAAAGGAACCTCTATACTGTTCCCCATAGTGGCTGTATCAATCTATATTCCCACCAACAGTGCAAGAGGGTTCCCTTTTCTCCACACCCTCTCCAGCATTTGTTGTTTGTAGATTTTCTGATGATGCCCATTCTGACCGGTATGAGGTGTTACCTCATTGTAGTTTTGATTTGCATTTCTCTAATGATTAGTGATGTTGAGCAGCTTTTCATGTGCTTCTTGGCCATTTGTATGTCTTCTTTGGAGAAATGTCTGTTTAGGTCTTCTGCCCATTTTTTGATTGGGTTGTTTGTTTTATCAATATTGAGCTGCATGAGCTGTTTATATATTTTGGAGATTAATCCTTTGTCTGTTGAGTCGTTTGCAAATATTTTCTCCCATTCTGAGAGTTGTCTTTTCATCTTGTTTATATTTTCCTTTGCTGTGCAAAAGCTTTAAAGATTCATTAGATCCCATTTGTTTATTTTTGTGTTTATTTCCATTACTCTAGGAGGTGGATCAAAAAAGATCTTGCCAGCTCATGCAGCTTAATAACAAAAAAACAAACAACCCAATCCAAAAATGGGCAGAAGACCTAAATAGACATTTCTCCAAAGAAGATATACAGACTGCCAACAAACACATGAGAGAATGCTCAACATCACTAATCATGAGAGAAATGCAAATCAAAACTACAATGAGGTATCATCTCACACCAGTCAGAATGGCCATCATCAAAAAATCTAGAAACAATAAATGCTGGAGAGGGTGTGGAGAAAAGGGAACCCTCTTACACTGTTGGTGGGAATGTAAATTGATACAGCCACTGTGGAGAACAGTATGGAGGTTCCTTAAAAAGTTACAAATAGAACTACCATATGACCCAGCAATCCCACTACTGGGCATATACCCTGAGAAAACCATAATTCAAAAAGAGTCATGTACCACAATGTTCACTGCAGCACTATTTACAATAGCCCAGAGATGGAAACAACCTAAGTGTCCATCATCGGATGAATGGATAAAGAAGATGTGGCACATATATACAATGGAATATTACTCAGCCATAAAAAGAGACGAAATTGAGCTATTTGTAATGAGGTGGATAGACCTAGAGTCTGTCATACAGAGTGAAGTAAGTCAGAAAGAGAGAGACAAATACCGTATGCTAACACATGTATATGGAATTTAAAAAAAAAAAAAATGTCATGAAAAACCTAGGGGTGAAACAGGAATAAAGACACAGACTTACTAGAGAATGGACTTGAGGCTATGGGGAGGGGGAAGTGTAAACGGTGACAAAGCGATAAAGAGGCATGGACATATATACACTACCAAACGTAAGGTAGATAGCTAGTGGGAAGCAGCCGCATAGCACAGGGAGATCAGCTCGGTGCTTTGTGACCACCTGGAGGGGTGGGATAGGGAGGGTGGGAGGGAGGGAGACGCAAGCGGGAAGAGATATGGGAATATATGTATATATATAAGTGATTCATTTTGTTGTGAAGCTGAAACTAACATACCATTGTAAAGCAATTATACTCCAATAAAGATGTTAAAAAAAAAAAAAAAAAAAAGATCTTGCTGTGATTTATGTCAGAGTGTTCTTCCTATGTTTTCCTCTAAGAGTTTTATAGTGTCCGGTCTTACATTTAGGTCTCAAATCCATTTTGAGTTTATTTTTGTGTATGGTGTTAGGGAGTGTTCTAATTTCATATTTTTACATGTACCTGTACAGTTTTCCCAGCACCACTTAGTGAAGAGGCTGTCTTTCCTCCACTGTATATTCTTGCCTCCTTTATCAAAAATAAGGTGACCATATGTGCATGGGTTTATCTCTGGGCTTTCTATCCTATTCCATTGATCTATATTTCTGTTTTTGTGCCAGTATCATAATGTCTTGATGACTGTAGCTTTGTAGTATAGTCTGAAGTCCGGAAGCCTGATTCCTCCAGCTCTGTTTTTCTTTCTCAAGATTGCTTTGGCTATTTATGGTCTTTTGTGTTTCCATACAAATTGTTCTAGTTCTGTGAAAAATGCCATTGGTAGTTTGATAGAGATTGCACTGAATCTGTAGATTGCTTTGGGTAGTAGATTGCACTGAATCTGTAGATTGCTTTGGGTAGTAGAGTCATTGATTCTTCCAATCCAAGAACATGGTATAGCTCTCCATCTGTTTGTATCATCTTTAATTTTTTTCATCAGTGTCTTATAGTTTTCTGCATACAGGTAGGTCTTTTGTCTCCTCAGGTAGGTTTATTCCTAGGTATTTTACTCTTTTTGTTGCAATGGTAAATGGGAGTGTTTCCTTAATTTCTCTTTCAGATTTTCCATCATTAGTGTATAGGAATGCAAGAGATTTCTGTGCATTAATTTTGTATCCTGCTACTCTACCAAATTCATTGATTAGCTCTAGCAGTTTTCTGGTGGCATCTTTAGGATTCTCTACATATAGCATCATGTCATCTGCAAAAAGTGACAGCTTTACTTCTTCTTTTCTGATTTGGATTTCTTTTATTTCTTTTTCTACTCTGATTGCTGTGGCTAAAACTTCCAAAACTATGTTGAATAATAGTGGTGAGAGTGGACAACCTTGTCTTTCTCCTGACCTTAGAGGAAATGGTTTCAGTTTTTCACCACTGGGAATGATGTTGGCTGTGGGTTTGTCATATATGGCCTTTATTATACTGAGGTAAGTTCCCTCTATGCCTACTTTCTGGAGGGTTTTATCATAAGTGGGTGTTGAATTTTGTCTTGATGAGTCTGGCTAATGGTTTATCAATTTTGTTAATCTTCTCAAAGAACCAGCTTTTAGTTTTATTGCTCTTTGCTATCATTTCCTTAATTTTTTTTCATTTATTTCTGATCTGATCTTTATGATTTCTTTCCTTCTGCTAACGTTGGGGCTTTTTTGTTCTTCTTTCTCTAATTGTTTTAGGTGTACGGTAAGGTTGTTTATTTGAGATGTTTCTTGTTTCTTGAGGTAGGACTGTATTGCTATAAACTTCCCTTTTATTACTGCTTTTGCTGCATCCCATAGGTTTTGGGTTGTCATGTTTCCATTGTCATTTGTTTCTAGGTAGTTTTTGATTTCTTCTTTGATTTCTTCAGTGATATCTTGGTTATTAAGTAGTGTACTGTTTAGCCTCCATGTGGTTGTATTTTTTACAGATTTTTTCCTGTAACTGATATCTAGTCTCATAGCATTGTGGTAGGAAAAGATACTTGATATGATTTCAATTTTCTTAAATTTACCAAGGCTTGATTTGTGACCCAAGATATGATCTATCCTGGAGAATGTTCCATGAGCACTGGAGAAGAAAATGTATTCTGTTGTTTTTGGATGGAATGTCCTATAAATATCAATTAAGTCCATCTTGTTTAATGTATCATTTAAAGCTTGTGTTTCCTTATTTATTTTCATTTTGGATCTGTCCATTGGTGAAAGTGTTAAAGTCCCCTACTATGATTGTGTTACTGTCAATTTCCCATTTTATGGCTGTTAACATTTGCCTTATGTATTGAGGTGTTCCTCTGTTGGGTGAATAAATATTTACAACTGTTATATCTTCTTCTTGGATCGATCCCTTGATCATTATGTAGTGTCCTTCTTTGTCTTTTTTAATAATCTTTATTTTAAAGTCTATTTTGTCTGATATGCGATTGCTACTCCAGCTTTCTTCTGATTTCCATTTGCATGGAATACCTTTTTCCATCCCCTCACTTTCAGTCTGTATGTGTCCCTAGGTCTGAAGTGGGTCTCTTGTAGACAGCATATTTAGGGGTCTTGTTATTGTATCCATTCAGCCAGTCTATGTCTTTTGGTGGGAGCATTTAATCCATTTACATTTAAGGTAATTATCGATATGTATGTTCCTATTACCATTTTCTTAACTGTTTTGGGTTTGTTATTGAAGGTCTTTTCCTTCTCTTGTGTTTCCTGCCTAGAGAAATTCCTTTAGCATTTGTTGAAAAGCTGGTTTGGTGGTGCTGAATATTCTTAGCTTTTGCTTGTCTGTAAAGGTTTTAATTTCTCCGTCAGATCTGAATGAGATCCTTGCTGGGTAGAGTAATCTTGGTTGTAGGTTTTTCCCTTCACCACTTTAAATATGTCTTGCCACTCCCTTCTGGCTTGCAGAGTTTCCGTTGAAAGATCAGCTGTTAACCTTATGGGGATTCCCCTGTGTGCTATTTGTTGCTTTTCCCTTGCTGCTTTTAATATTTTTTCTTTGTATTTAATTTTTGATAGTTTGATTAATATGTGCCTTGGCATGTTTCTCCTTGGATTTATCCTGTACGGGACTCTCTGTGCTTCCTGGACTTGATTATTTCCTTTCCCATATTAGGGGAAGTTTTCAAGTATAATTTCTTCGAATATTTTCTCAGTCTGTTTCTTTCTCTCGTCTTCTTCTGGCACCGCTATAATTCGAATGTTGGTGTGTTTAATATTGTCTGAGGTCTCTAAGACTGTCCTCAATTCTTTTCATTCTTTTTTCTTTATTCTGCTCTGTGGTAGTTATTTCCACTATTTTATCTCCAGGTCACTTCTCTGTTCTTCTGCCTCAGTTACTCTGCTAATGATTCCTTCTAGAGAATTTTTAATTTCATTTATTGTGCTGTTCATCATTGTTCGTTTGCTCTTTAGTTCTTCTAGGTCCTTGTTAAACGTTTCTTGTATTTTCTCCATTCTATTTCCAAGATTTTGGATTATCTTTACTATCATTATTCTGAATTCTTTTTCAGGTAGACTGCCTATTTCCTCTTCATTTGTTAGGTCTGGTGGGTTTTTACCTTGCTCCTTCATCTGCTGTGTGTTTTTCTGTCTTCTCATTTTCCTTATCTTACTGTGTTTGGGGTCTCCTTTTTGCAGGCTGCAGGTTCATAGTTCCTGTTGTTTTTGGTGTCTGCCCCCAGTGGCTAAGGTTGGTTCAGTGGGTTGTGTAGGCTTCCTGGTGGAGGGGACTGGTGCCTGTGCTCTGGTGGATGAGGCTGGATCTTGTCTTTCTGGTGGGCAGGACTGCATCCAGTGGTGTGTTTTGGGGTGTTTGTGACCTTAGTATGATTTTAGGCAGCCTCTCTGCTAATGGGTGGGGTTGTGTTTCTGTCTTGCTAGTTGTTTGGCATAGGGTGTCCAGCACTGTAGTTTGCTGGTTGTTGAGTGGAGCTGGGTCTTAGCATTGAGATGGAGATCTCTGGGAGAGCTTTCATCATTTGATATTACATGGAGCCGGGAGTCTCTGGTGGACCAATGTCCTGAACTCAGCTCTCCCACCTCAGAGGCACAGGCCTGACACCTGGCTGGAGCACCAAGACCCTGTCAGCCACACAGCGGCAGCTCTGTCCCTCACTGCGCCTCCTGGGTCATGGCCTGCTGCTGCTGAGCCTGTGTCCTGCTTCTACCTGTGGTAACCCAACGGGAGCACGGGCAAGCGGACGGTCTCGAGAGGGTCTGCTGCTGAATGCTGGCCAGCCTCGTTCTCGTCCCTCGTCCCGGCAGCAATCCAGCAGCTGCAGTCGGGTCTCCTTTCTAACAAATCCTAAAGGGGTACTCAGATGACACCTTGTAGAACTTTCTGGGGATCAGGGTCAAAGAGCCTGTTAACATAGTGGCGACTGCTAGCTGTTACTTCCGAAAGGACGCTCGTGCGGATTGGGGTCTCCGTCAGGCACGCCATCTTGGTGCTATGATTTTTACTGTCTCGTTCTACAGGTGAAGAAAACCAGGTTCAAGAGAGTTGAACTGTCTTGCTCACAGCTGCACAGTAAGGAAGTATCCAAGCTGGAACTTAAATCGAGGCCTGTGTGATTCCTAGCCTGAGAGCCTTCCCATGAAACCAGCTGCCTTTTCACACTTGTTTGTGTGGCTGAGCTTTCGGAAGTTTCTCAACTCTTTACAAAACATCATAAAATGCTGCCATGATTAATTACATTCTAAGAATCTGGTATTTACAGTGAGTAGAAAAAAACGATACAGTGATTAGAATATATGTCAAGGTCTCCGCATTGTCAGCCAATACAAATCATATAGCCATATCTAGAACGTTTCAAGAGAGTCACCTTTAGCAGGTTAAAAATAAAAATCATAGGGATTAAGTACCTAGCTCGTTAACTACACTTACGTGTTATATAAAGCACAAAACACAGCACACATACCCGGGAAGCAAACAGGCCTCTTGTGTAAGCACGGTAAGCCACTTCCAAATTTCTCCTTCAACGAGGGATTGACACAGAGTAAGAGCCTAATAAACATTTGTTGAGTGACCAAATGAGGGATGAATGGATGAAATAATTTAGACACGTGTTAAATCATCTTGTTTCATATAAACACTTCCCAGTGTAACAGCTGCTAGGAATTTGAGAAAAACTGAAAACATTTAAGGCATAAATGCTTAAGGAGAAAGAAAAGACCTTTTAAAAATGTGTCTTATAAAATAGAGAAAGATTTTATTGTTTCTGTCAATTACTGTCACTTCATTCTCATACCCCAGGGTCTCAGGGGAGCAAGGTTTGGGAACCACTATCCTAAACTCAGATTTAAGTGATGAGATAAAACCCAAAAGCCCTACAGAGAAAGACAAATATTATATATCATTTATTTGTGGAATCTAAGAAAATGATACAAATGAACTTATTTACAAAACAGAAATAGGCTCACAAACATAGAAAACAAACATGGAGTGGGGTGGGAGGGGGGAGATAAATGAGGAGTTTGGGATTAACATATACACACTATATATAAAATAGGTAAACAACAGGGACCTACTGTATAGCACAGGAAACTAGACTCAATATCTTGTAGTAACCTACAATGGAAAAGAATCTGAAAAAGAATATATATATCTGAATCACTTTACTGTACACTTGAAACTAAAACAACTTTGCAAATTAACTATACCTCAAAAAAAATACTGGTAGAAAAAAAAAAGCCCTTGAATCTGGATGGATTTGATGTCTGTGAGGTGGGTAATTAACCCCCTCCCTAAATCCCAAATGCCTTTCCTCTACGTCTTTTCCATGCACCAGTCTCCCGGGTATGCCCTTGAACACAGTGGGGCGGTAGGGCCAGAATAGTGGCTAAGTGCACCACAGTGACATAAGGGGCGGCTAAACACGCAGCAGTTAAGTATGCAGCAGTCACATATACAGTGGTTCACTACACAGTGGTCAGATACGCAGAGGGGAAGTATGCAGCCATGAAGAATGCTGGCTCCAGAAACGGACACACTTGGATTTGAACTACTGCGTATTACTTCCTAGCTGGGCGGCCTCTATGAGTATCACTTTCATCATCTGTAAGATGGGTATAAAACATGAGACCTGTGTCCTAAGTTCGTTACAAGGAACAAGGGAGCTTACTTATGCAATGTGCCCTGGACCAGCACGGAGCAAGTTACAGTAAATGTAGTGTCTATTATTATAATTACTATGATTTTGATTATCACTAGCAATAGGTTTATCATCAATATTGTGGTTTTTACTCACGTCAGAGAGCAGGTCACAGATAGGGGAAGGGAGTAATGGGCCTGGACACTCTACAATCGAATGGACGACACGGCATCATTTTTAGATTATCATGTCCAGAACCTTCTCTTTCGGCTCCGTGAGACTCCAACTAGCATCTTAAGGTCCTCTTATATACCAGGCTCACTGTCAGAATCTGTGCACACCTGATCTGATTTAATCTTCACTCGACTTGGAGAATTAGATCTCAATATCCCCATTTTATAGTTGTGAAAACCGAGGCTCACACAAGAAAACAAACTTGCCCAAGGTCACTCAGTTAGTAAGTGATGGTGTGCAGGTTTGAACGCAAGTCCCTACAACACACTAAGTCCCCTTTGGCTGTCTAGGAGTCAATGTTTTGAAAGTATGGAAATTCCCTTCCCCTCCCCTTCTCTCTCCGTCTCCTTCAGCCTCTTATGGAAACATTTTTTTTTTTCTGTTTCCTGGGGAAAATCCTCCAGAACCGATGTTGAACTTCACTTCTTCAAGCTGATAGGATTAACTGTTTCCCCCGCATTGAAATCACGGCCTAACTAACTAAAGCCTGTAGCTAGCCTGGGTAGAGGGCACCCTGGGTGGAGAAGCAGACTTCATCCATGAAAGCTGCTCTGGCTTCCTAAGCCCCTGCCTCAGGATTCAGGCTCTTAACTAGAGACTCCTGTTCATAAGTCTCAGGGGTCTATGAGTCCTCTGAAATGGTACACAGAACTTGGGGAGTATTCTTGGCATTCATAGCTTCCATCTAATTCTCAGATGGGTTTTGATCTGATTTAAGGATCTCAAAGAGGAACTTGCAAAAGCGAGAGAGGAAGAGTGGTCAGAGAGACAAACTTCATTTCTCCAACCTCAAGTTGAACTTCCCTGTTAGATTGAAGAGGGGAGCGGGGGCAGGGTCTCACCTGTGTGCTCTGGCAGGACTGGCCTCCTGGCAGGCTTTGCCTCTCTCCCAGCTGTTGGAGCCCAAGACCTCAGTGGCCAGAGGCTGGCTCAGCTTTTCCGAGGGTCCATCCTGAGCTGGGACCATGGGGCTGCTCTGGGGTTCTGTCCTATAGGGGAGGAAATAAGGAGGCAAAAGTGTTAGGATATGACAGAGATTCTTACTGTTCATCAAACATTCATAGATGTCAGAATATTTCCAACCTCCCTCGGAGTTAAGCTGGGGCCATATCATCATCAAGGGTCAATGGTCTCTGAATGGGAGTGATATGTATTGTTTCCAGTTTGAGGCAGTAAGATCTGTGTGTCATCTCCAGCTCTCTCTCCCTCTGTCACAGTGACTCTGGAGGCCACACATTCCAAAAGGTGAAGCTACTTGATGGAGGAGAGATGCCTGGACCACATCAGACTTTGCATGACAGAAATAAGCCTTAGTTAGGTTAAGCCACTGAGGTTCAGGGACTTACTTGTTACTTCAGCATAGCCTAGCCTAACCTGATTGAATCACAGGGAGAGGCTGGAAACCAGCATTTTACTTCCTTCCTCAAGACTTAACTGGAGGCCAAAGCAGTATAGGATTAGTTCAAACTCTCCTTTGCCATTTCGATCCCACTTTTCTGCCTTATCTGTGTATGGCACAGAGACAGCTTCATTTAAACACTATCTTCACGATTTAGTAACTCTAGGTCCTGGGATCAGTCCCTCAACCTCTCTGAGCTGCAGTTTCCTCAACTATAAAATAGGGAATAATATCAGTCCATATATTGTTGAGTTGTTGTGAAGATAAAATGAGATAATACAAGCAAACAGGAAGGCCTAAGAAATATCACTGCCCTTTCCCTTTACTTCTCTGTGAACCAAAGCTCCCATTTGGTGTCCTTAGCAGGTGTGAGCACGCCTAGTTGGGACGGCAGTTCCCATGAAGGCCTGAAGTTCTCTTCTCTGCCTCTGAGATGAGGTCCAAATAACACAGGGAAATTACCTGCGTCCCACCTCCTTCTCTGAGCCCCAGAGAGGGAAAGGAAGTTGCTTAGTTACTCAGTCTTTGAAGAAACTGTCACTCAAGTCTCCTGGCTCCTGTCATTCAGTCAGGAGTCTGAGAACCACAGGTGGCTCTGGCCCCATCCAGCGAGCATCCCAGCCTGCTCACCCTGCCTGCAAATCCCAGGTCAAGCATTGATCAAAGGCATTAGCATTTCTCCTGCACCGAGCTCCTGCAGCCAGTGCATCAAGATTGGTTTTATGACTCAGGATGAATACATTTGATAAGCCCCCTGCTCCTTCAGGCTGCCAGGAGCGCAGGCCAAGCCTGGTCAATATTGAAGGAAGGGCAGCAAAACACATCCTTCTCTGTCAGCCGCTGATCGGAGCATCTTTAGAAGCAGAGCTGGGGGACACTTCAAGCCCAGGAAGGATGGAGATTCTAGTCGGGTCCGCCCAGCCCCCCTCACTGCCAACTCCATGCTACCAGAACTCCAGTTTTCCCTACACCTCCCTGCAGCCCTTCTCCCACGATGAGGGTTCCATTTCCATGCCTGCGTTCCCTCCAGTCTATCTGTGTGGAATGCTGCCCTGGCTCTTTTCAGATAACTCAAAGCTTGCAGTTTCTACCCAGCCTCCAGCAGGGTTTGCCTCTTGCCACACTTGTCCTAGACAAGGCTAACCCAACATTCACGAACGCCTATTCCCTGAGTGCGTGCAGTGTGTCCAGGCCAGTTCTAAGACCGGCGATGCAGTGAACAAGACACAGGTGTTCCCCGAGATCATGGAGTTCAGATTACAGATGGAAAAGCAGGTATTAAACACACAAGAAAGTAACAATATGGCTTATTTGTTGGTAATAACTTATGGAGAGAATAAATCAGTGGAATGGGGCTAGGAAATGGGAGCGGGTGACTGTTATTTCATATACAGTAATCAGGGAAGGACTTTTTTAGGAAGTAACAAGAGAGTGGAGACTTGAAGGATCAGAGACTAACCTTGCAGTTTGTGTTGGTTTTAAAATGTGTTCACAAATTCTTTGACACTCATACCATCAAAAGCTGAATCCTAGAAGATGTGGTATATATACGATGGAATACCACTCAGCCATAAAGAAGAATGAAATAGTGCCTTCTGCAGCAACATGGATGGACCTAGAGATTACCATACTAAGTGAAGTAAGTCAGACAGAGAAAGAGAAATATCATATGATACCACTTATATGTGGAATCTAAAACACCCGATACAAATAAACTTAGTTACAAAACAGAAATAGACTCACAGACATAGAAAACAAACTTACGGTTACCAAAGGGGAAAGCGGGGGGAGGGAAAAATTAGGAGTTTGGGAGTAACAGATACACACTACTATATAGAAAAGAGATAAACAGCAAGGACCTACTGTATAGCAAGGGGAACTATACTCAATATTTTGTAATAACCTATTTGGGAAAATAATCTGAAAAAGAATATCTATATGTGTGTGTGTGTGTGTGTGTGTGTGTGTGTGTGTGTACACACACACACACATGATGGAATCACTTTGCTGTACACCTGAAACTAACACAATATTGTAAGTCAATTATACTTCAAAAATAAATAAATAAATTTTAAAAAGAGGAAAAAAAAAAAAGCTGGAGCCTAACTTCCCTCCCTGTGAATACTGGATGGGCTAGTGACTCACTTTTAATGAACAGACTGAATTAAAAGTGATGAGATGTGACTTCCAAGACGAGGTCATGAAGGCAACTTCTGCCTCTTCCTCTTGGATTGATCACTTTGAGGGAAGCTGGTCGCCATGTTGTGAGGACACTCAAGCAGCCCTGTGGAGACGCCCATGTGACAGAACTGAGGCCTCCTGCCAACAGCCAGCACTATCAGCCATGTGACTGAGCCACCCTGGAAGTGGGTCCTCCGGCCGCAGTCAAGCCTTCAGATAAGACAGCAGCCGTGGCTGACATCTGACCACCATCTCATGAGAGTGGTGAGTGAGTCAGTCACCCAGCCAAACTCTTGACTCACAGAAACTGCAAAACATAACTGTTTATTGTTGTTTTAAGCCACAAAGATTTGGAGTATTTTGTTGCTCAGTAATATACAACTTCTATACAGGTATCCGCAATCAGTGGAAGTATGTTCTAGGCAGAAGGAATAGCAAGTTCAAAGACACTTGGCATATACAAGGAATAGCAAGCAGGGGTTAGAGTGATAAGAGGACAGATCAGAGATGAGGTCTTTGATGGGACCTAGGAATCTATGTTCTTAAAAAGTTCCTTGGGGGCCTCTGATACTGTGCCAGGTTTAGCAAAGCCTGGACTACATAGGTCATGGAAGACCTTTGGGTCCCATGCGGCTGAGAAGGGTGATGTGGTCTGGCTTACATTTCAGAAGGTTCTCTCCACGGGCTTCGGACACTCAAAGGAAGGGAAGAAAGAGATCGGGAGACTACTGCAATGACTTAGTGATCAGCGAGTTTATGAATGGACGCGTATTGCCCAGCAGAGTCTTGAGTTGGACACACACACAAGAATGGAATTTTGGACTTTCTGGAGCGTTACAGGAAACCAAGACACAAATATGTGCCTGAGGCAACCTTGCACTAGGCAGAAACTGAGTCGATGTGAGGAGTTTGGCAGTGAATAAATACATGACAAATAGTGCTGCCATTGGATGGAAGGTCTCAGTGACTTGTGCTAATAGAGGCGTGGGTTATCCCCAGTGCAGGGAAAGCTGGGGGATACTACTGCCAGGCACTGGCGGACAAAGCTTAAGGCAGGGACAGTGCCTCACCCATCGCTGCCAGCAGCAGGGTGGAGAATCAGGGATGGAAACCCTGACAATGGTTTGATGAGGAGAGCGGTATAATGGAGCTGCTGCAGCTTATAGCTTAGCTTGACACTCCTTGATGTGGTAGTTCTTTTTTTTCCCAATAGCACTGGCTTCCCCTTCCTGGTGTTGGGTACCTCACCTGGGATTATTACACAAACAAAAACAGAACTGATTCTACCAGGCTGACAGGGAGTGGTGAGGGAAAGATGAAAGGAATCCTTCCTAATGTAACATTTAAGATTGTTTAAATGTGTTCTAATACTTTGCTTCTTAGCTTTTTTAAAACTGAAAGAGACTCAGGGATCATGTAGTCCAGGCTCTGCTAAACATGCCACAGTATCAGAGGCCCCTTAAGGAACTTTAAAAAATACAGATTCCTAGGTCCCATCATAGCCATAATAAATCAGAGTTTCCAAGGATGAAACGTGGGAACCTGCAACTTAAAGAAACATCCCAGGTAGTTCACCTTCTATTAGGTCAAGAATAAATCCAAACTGATTATTGGGATTAAAAGGCTCTGAATGACCTGGCCTCTGTCCCTCTAGACCCCATCTCCTACCCCTCCCTGTCCCTTACTCTACTTTGGCCACATGGCCTTCTTGCTGCTCCTCAGATGGGACAGGGCCCTTACTCAGAGCCTTTGCTCTTTCTGTTCCCTCCACCTGGTATGCTGTTCCTCCTCCAGCTATCTGCATGGCCGGCTCCTTCTTTTCACTCAAATGTCACCTCCTCGGAGAAGCCCTCCCTTATCCCCCTATGTAATCGTGCTCCTCTCATCACCGGCCACCGTCACAGTGGCTGCTGTGCCTTCCCTCCTTCACAGGACTTGTTACTATTTGAAATGACCATTTTACATGTTTATTTGCTAACCGTTTGTCTTCTGGACTAGAATGTAAGCTTCCTGAGTGTGGGAACTAGTCTCTTCTCTCACCACCGAATCCCCAAGGATCTAGTGCCTGGCATAGACAATGCCTCCTTACTCAGGAAGCATTTGTTGAATGAATGAATTTACAAATCAATTCTGATGACCAATCTCATGTGAGAACCACGGGTCAGATGCAACCTCTCCTCACATATAAAGAAGCAGAGGTCCAGGAAGAAGGACCAGTCTGAGGCCACACAGCACTTCAGTGGACTCAGACCTCAGCCATGGTACCTCCACCCCCGTAGCCCCACCCATCTTCCTTCTTTGCCTCCAGCTTTGCATCTTTGCAGGGCTTTAAGAAAAATTCTGTGTCCCATCCTTGCTGAGGAGTACAGGCAGCTGCCTCGTTTTTTCCACGCAGCTCTTTGATGTTGC